GAGAATACAGGGAACTGGGAGAGAGAATACAGGGAACTGGGAAAGAGAATACAGGGAACTGGGAGAGAGAATACAGGGAACTGGGAGAGAGAATACAGGAAACTGGGAGAGAGAATACAGGGAACTGGGAGAGAGAATACAGGGAACTGGGAGAGCGAAGTGTTTTGCCTCAGGACACAACAATTGCCCAGTCTTGAAATTGAGTGATCTCAGTGTGTCGTTAGTCCTTTATGTCCAGAATTTTCAAGTAAATGGTTTTGGTCAGAAATACAGCATGTCCTCACTTTCAAAAAGAGGTGTGGTTACTGTGAAACATTAAATAAAACCAAACAATGACATCATGGCTCATATTGCCTTTTATAAAGAATATGCACAGGAAATGGACAGGGAATACACTTCATTAACATAATATCACTGACCCCAAAAACAACCTCATCAACAAGACAACAAAGGTCATACCTTGACAACTTTGCTGGTCCCTACTGGAACCTCTTCTACAAGTTCTGCAGACGCTAACATCTCAGGTGTAAAGTGATCAAGACTTGCAATAGGCTTGCAACCAATGCTCTGAAAACACATGTAACATGTTGAACACTGAAAAACACTGCTATTATGAAATATTATGTATCTACTTAAAATAGTATTGCAACTAATAGTCTGCAGTGATGCAGAAACAGGCTATTTATACTGTCTTGTATTAGATCCATTACTGTACCTTGCAGATAAATTCAATTTCATCTCTTTCAATATCACGGACAACAAGAATTTTCATTTTGTTAAGGAAGTGAAGGGCCAGGTCATTGACAGCATCCCTAAAATGATACATACTGGCATAAGATACTGCTAGTCAACAACTTATCTGCTGTGCAGACTGAGGAGGGACGTTCAAGATCAATATCTTGTGAGATATAACAAATATATCTAACTCTCTGGATTAAAAATTGTTTGAAAAAAGTTGAAATGTGCTAATTACAAACACTGGAATGAAATGACACTAGAGTGAAAGACCTGTCAACATTTACAGCAATTCAAGACACTTCAAACATAGAAAGCCTATCAAGAACAACAATATACATGCACATATATCAATAACAATATTAATAATACTTGCTTACCTCAAAATGCTTTTTTGGATAAGAAGGACATTGCATCCTGCTTTTTTGACCTTTTTACATATTTCTAAAATATACTGTCTTTCCTCTCTAAGCACACGGTCCATTTGAGTGTAATCACTGACAATGACTTGGTTCTCCATCTAAAAAACAATCAAGTTATATCTCATTGAATATTAATGTCAAAAGAGGAACGCTGGTTTCTATAGCAATCAACAGGATAACACACTGGAAAGGGATTAATAATATTGGTGTTATTCTGGTGTTTATCAATACCGCATGCTACCGTTTGTTTCTAAAGAGGTTCACTGAAATTTCCCAATTTGAATTTCATATTTTTCTCTTGTGCACACTGTAGAAAGCAATGGTCATGATAGTGATTTCATAATACTACAGCCACAAGGAGTATATAATACCATTCTCCTATAGCAAATACATTTAAGCTAATATAACAGGTAGACAATTTCATAACATACATTAGTTTTTGGAGGTGAAATGCAGAACTGGATGAGTCCAATCTTAGCCTTCTCCACCTGTGATATACCACCAGCTAAGTGAGAGATTTTTTGTTCCAGAACAAGTCCTTCTACAAGCTCTGTATCATCAACAGTGCCACTACAAACAAACATGTAAACATTGTACAAACACATAATATGATAATATGATGGCCTCTTCATTTTCTATTAGTATAGGAATTTGCATGAGTAATGTTTTGAAGTTCTTCGAAATTGCACGAGCCCAAAAGGGCAAGTGCAATTTGAAAACTTCAAAAACTTTACAAGTGACTATTAATTCCAAATTGTATGAGAAGTTGTGTCATTTTTTGTTTATAATACATTCAGTAAAATAAAATTTTATAAGGAGTACAATTAACGCTGTAATTGTTTTTTAGTGTTCAYCAACGCTGTAATTGTACTCCTCTCGACCAATTAAAAAGTATTATTTTGTTAAAATGTACTATGAATAGTGTTACAGGTACTGATTTCTATTGGTATTTTGGTAAAGAGCTCAAAGAATGATACACATTGAAATAGGTGTCTTTAATGATTTGCCTTCAGGGTTAACAGTTAGCCAAACATCAATTCAACACAAAAATTCAAATGTAACAAGGTGCTTACCCTAATTTTTTGATGATTCTGATATCTCTGAGGTCGACATTGTCTGCTACTGTAGGATCAATGACTTTCATCACAGCATCCACAGAGATTGGTGCAAGTAAACTGGAATACTGGGACACCACCTAAAATGTACAATGTTATTCATCATAAACATGACTTTCTAATCACGGTTAGTTTTCAATAAAATAAATATATTTGCATTTGTGATGCTGAATTAACATGGTTGATTAATTACTTTAGGTATAAATCCCTAACTTCCATAAGTACTTGATCACTAGGAGTTTAAGTTGTCGTTTTGATGAATATATGGAAGATATTAAGTCTCAGTCAAAACAATTTCTACAGATTAATATCTATTCTATAATCAGCCACTTTRTAAACGCTGATTCTTGGGTTTCAGTTACATCATCACAATTTTTATTTTAATCAAATTAAAAAAAATGACATTGATGCCCTTTTAAAGCATAAAAAACTATATAGATGGACAAAAAATTAGGAATGTAGAGCGTTTGCTTGCACAATTATTATCAATGGAAGATTCACAAAATTTGCTAAAAATGTATGGAGAAATCCAACATCTGACCTCCACCTGGATTCAATGGTTTACAAAATGACAGAAATTTGAATTTTTTGACATATTTCTTGATATTCTTGCATTCAATAAAATGTGCCTATAAGAGGCAAACTGTTTTATGCACATCGAATTTTAACAGTTTTTTATAGATCTGTGACGGCGTTGCATGACACAATTGAATCTTTAATATCTCGAGAACCAAAGAATTGTTTACAATCATTTTTGTTCTTATATCTTTACAATACCCATATTTATAGCATATATAGTTTGTATCATCATAGGATGCATATTAGAGATTTAATATTTTTGTGACGTCACATGAAACCCAAGAATTGTAAGGCTATAACATTCAACTAGAATGTCAAAGGTAGGTTTAAGCTCTTGTAAGAAGACTGCATTTGTAATTAGATATATGATACCTTGGAGTTGAGAGCTGTTGTTGCACTCTTTAATAGTGAGTCTCTATCAGTCAGGCATAATGGTGTTGACATATTGGTCAGAATTTCCACAGCTTTTAATGAAGCCTTTTCAAATGACTCTGAAATGCTTGTTGGGTGGATTCCTGTAACAATTCAAATCAACATTACCCTAAGAGTTGTTGACACCATCAATAGCAATCTAAAATGTCTTGTGTTTACCACGTTAAGAAAATTTCTGCTAAAATACAAGTTTAAATGTGTTGATTATAAGAAGAACAATTACCTTTTTCTAAGAGCTTTGCTACTGCATTAAGAAGACTTCCAGCTATGACGACTACAGTGGTTGTACCATCACCAGCCTCTATATCTTGAGCTTTAGATAGCTCTACAAGCTAACAAACAATATTTATCATAAGAAATAAAAACTATGGCTTGGACAGTTCTGATTCAGTTTTCACCAATCATGATTTCTGATGACTGGGCAAAGACCATGTCTTAAAAAGCCTGTGGACGTTTTGTCTTCATCATGAATATTACACTTCAAAGTGGTAGCATCCACAATTTTGACAGTCTGCAGTCTCTGTTTTCATAGTGATGCTGTGTTCCGGTCTTTTCATTTCTAAGAAATTCTGCTTTGTGGTTAAAACTAGTTCTGACAACCTTGAAGATTAAGGAATTTTATCAAGAAAATGAAGGAATTGCTGAAGTGTCAGTAGCCGAGTATGACAAACTTGCGGTGTGAATAAACAATTAGAAATGAACTGCACATTAATCAATAAATAAAAAAACTAGTGAAGGTATTCTATGCCATAATTTACTTTTATAGTTTATTATATGATAGTCAGAATATTACATGGTCGTTTGGGGATATGAATTTTATCTAATCATGTTGAAAATCTTTTGCTCTTCACCTATTCATGCACCCACGTAATATCCTGTCTTTCTCAATTTTCCAAAATACCTAGCCCGACTTCACGCTCTAAGAACCGCTTGTCAGTACATGTATATTCTTGCCAAAATCCTATTAAGTTTAGTAAATAAAACCCAATGTTTCTTACGTGTGGTTTTGGGTGGCATAGGAGTCAAAGAGTTAAGCAAAAATTGGAATTTCTCAAAATGATTTTATGGAGGCAAGAGTTGAACATGAAAGAATGTGTAGTTCCAGAAAATATCCATACCCCCACCACGGAGGATATTTCATTTATGACCCCCCAGCCCCCCCGGAATTTCCGATTTTTGACCGATTTTTTGCAACTCTTCCCCCACTCCCCACCCCTCCGGAATTTCCGATAAAAAGGTAGGTATTACCCCCACCCCCCTCGGAATTTCCGTCAATACAAGATACGCATTAAATACGCCTGGCAATTTAAAATCAAATGTTTTTGAGTATCAGAAGAACAGAGGACAAATAACAAAYGAAAGCCGCGGAGATGGAACAACCAAGTCTAGCACCACATGAACTTTGCGAACTCTAAGTAGAATCTCGAAGAACTATCGCCCGGAGAAGTAGTTTCCTCGGTTTATATAAAAATTTGCACTTCTTTTACGATCTCGAAATCGATCTTTTCCTCCTAAATATGTATTTTTTTCAGCAGATTTTGGTGTTTTACCTAAAGCTCAAGCTTCTTTGTGGTCATAAATCTTTGCCGATTATCGAACCGTCACTTGAGTGTAAACAACCACGTGCTTTGACTAACGGAATGAATCTAGAATCTTATTTATACACTTATTCAATAAAGAAGGATTCTTTTGCCTTTTTCTATCATCAACCTTTCTTTCTTTTTAAATACAAGTACATGTATTGAGTTTTAGTTTCGCAGACTTGTAAAAACGTGTACGTGAATTTTAGCGCGGTTTAGTCATTCTACTGACAGTTGTCACTTTTATTTTCTTTCTTGAATCGAAAGAAAACCCATTTTGTGTAGAAACTGTCTGTTTGAAGCACAATCTTCATTTAAATTCACGTCAAATAACTTATTTAAAGAGCGACCAGCGAGTCAGGAATACGGTAATAACGCATATCTAMGCATATCRATTTTTTGTAGATCGATTGCAGATTAACCCCCYACCCCCACGGAATTTCCAAGCTACTTTAACCCCCAACCCCCTCGGAATTTCCGAAATCCTCCGTGGTGGGGGTATGGATATTTTCTGGAACTACACAATATTCATAGATCAAAAGAAAACTTCCCAGAATAATTTCCCAGTATCAATGTCTTAAAAGGTATTCTAGTGGCACAGGAAACTCAGGTTCTGTAAAATAATGTCACTGGATTTCTGGGATAAAACCATTTTGAAATAGTCTGGAGAGAGAGACCTTAGAGCATAAATTAGAAGCAAGATTTCTTGACAGTAGGGACTGGGTATGAGATTGAGTCTCACTGTAAGAAATTAAAGCCAGAGCTGAAGACTGTAAGAGTTTCTTTTGTTCATAGGTACATTTGATTCTCCACAGGGAAAGGTTAGAAAACAATAATACTTAAATTCAACTTTGTCATACCATTCTTGCAGCTGGATGAAGTACTTGCATTTGTTTCAAAATTGTTGCTCCATCATTGGTAATAGTGACATCTCCATTTCCAGCTTGGATCTGATGACATATAGTTAAGTGGAGAATATTACATTGAACATCAACATAAAATAATATGCCAATATGGTAAACAAACAGATATAAAGCATCATGCAAGCCTTGCACCCCTCCCCTTGTACATAATACTTCAGCACACCCTCATCATAGCTAAACCTTCTTCCGCCTTCTATTTTTTCATAAATATCAAATCGTATAAAAATTATATAAAAAGTCAAATAAACATGAACACGGATCAAAAACAGTAGTAATACCTAATCTTTAAGCTAACAGATCATAATAATGAACTTTTGACAGATCGACTGAGATGTGACTGTTTTGTGTAGTTTAAACCCTAGATTTCAAATCAAGCAGACTGTCTGTTTTATGAATGATGCTATCGTATATAAAGATTATAAATTTGTAGCTTACAAGTACAAACAATAGTTCAAACGTGCAACTTTACCATTTTATCCATCCCTTTGGGTCCAAGACTTGTTCGTACTGCATCTGCCACGGCTGGAACAAGAAATATCGCCGGTCAAGACTTATACCCTTTCTATAGGGCAGAAGGGGAAGTCTTAAAGACATCATTAAATTACTCACCTTTTGCGGCAGTTATATTGGTCATTCGTATTTCTGTAGGCTTTTCCTTGTCCTTGAAAGCATCTTGCTTGCTTGACGATGGGTTTGGCGTTTTCTTGGCGGCTTGTGGGGCCTTTGCTTCTGGCATTTTTTGCTTTAATCTACTAATATGACTGTAAACTATAAATATTAAGGGCTAATTTACCAAAACAAGCTCTTGTAAAGACGATGTTTTTGGATTGCCTTGTACAACCACCGTGCCTTCTGTACAAAGTTAGTAAGACTTGACAGCCATTGACGCCAACGATATCTACTTGCCGGTATTCAGCGGTTATACCCAACAGCGAGGAACGCCTGGCAAAAGTACCCAACTAAAATCGCCATGTCAAGTGAGGATCAAAAAGAAGTAAAAGAATAGGCCTCGAAATAAATACATCTTAGTAAGACTCAACTATGTACTGATTATTAAATATCTCTTTTTTTAGAAGGAAAAGGGTGCTTTTGAGAAGCTTCAAATTCCATATGATCCAGACTGTGTTAGTTGTAGAGTTGTGGGAAGTTTGACTTTGTACGGTGCTGGAATACTAGTATTGACCAATGTAAAGAAACTCCCAGAATCCAACAAGGCTGGTAAGATTGCAATGGGTCTCTTTGGAATTGGTATGTATCTGCATGTCATCTTTTGATAACTACACTAACAGAATCTCATCTCAGTTATGTCCACCTCTGCTTGGACACTAGTTGAAAGAAAGGCCAGCTGATCTGAAATGTGACGTCATGATGACGTATTTGCAAAACTGAGTTGTCCTTGGGCCCACAGGACTGACCAGCGGTCTACCAAATTTAATTAAATGCATAAAAACCTATTCATATTATCTGTGTTTTTGTCTTGACTGTATCGAGGTCACTGACTTTTTTGTATTCAAAATGGTAACGTGAAACGAAAGCGAAGGGAAAATCACCCCAAGGACAAAGAAGAATAAACAATAAACTTTTCCCCGTCGAGCACGTAAGTCCGCCATTTTGAAAGCCAGGCTACCAAGGGTGACAATTCAGTTTTGCAAATTTTCTCGATTCTGATTGGCTAACATTTTTTCTCAGATCAGCTGGAAGGAGATTCATAAACAGGTTTTGAACTCAGTGCATATTGTTTTAATAGGTTTGCTTGGAGCTGGTACCATGCGCATATTTGTTTGACAGATGTTAATATTTTGCAATGGATACTAACAACGTAAATGGACACAAATCAACAATCATTGGAAAAGGAATTAAGAATAGMTGGTATTAACAAGAGAAAATATGAACAACTACAAAGACTTTTGAAGATTCTCAGTTCTACTTTTACCATTCTCATCCTCAGATTCTTTTCAGTTCCCAATGGAATCAAAATCAAAGGCTCCGGTTGGAGAAGAATGAGTCTTTGGTCTGATAGTTCCACAATTATTTCCCATGCTACATCAGCATGCATATATCTTACAACCAAGACTATAGGTCTCCAATGAGCCTTTGATTGAGAAGGGTCCAGCTGTAAGATTGTTCTTTTTCTAGTGTTTTGCTGTTTTATATGCTATGTTATGTTCCAAAAAATATCCCTAGAGGTTTAGCAAGCTTTTATGTATATACAAAGAGAAAATGACTTAATTCACTCATGCAAGATGACATGGAGATCCTGATAAAATACACTTCATTCATATAAGTTGGAATTAATTTTTTTCCATTAAATTATTTTCCTTGTCTGTTATGAAGAACCTACATACACATATCAATGTAAACTAGACGCTCTTACAGTCTGAAGTCCAGCTAACTGTTTTGGAAAATTGAGAAAGACAGGATATTACATGGGTGTGCTTATAAGCGAACGCCTGAAAGATTTTCAACATGATTAAAGATAAAATAAAATTT